ATGAATGATAAACGTGAACCATCGTTGATGACCATCCGCCGCTGGATAATAACAATCATGAATGAAATGCGAATCATAATCGAGGTAGTCACAGCATGGACTTTGACGGTGGTCAACAACCGCCATCCCCGTCCATACACCCTTCTCTCCGCTCCCTCCTCCTCTCCCGCTTCTCCTGCCTCCCCCCCCCCCCCCCCCCCCCCCCTCCCCCCCCCCTCTCGTTCCCCAATCACACGAGCGTGACCACAAACGTCTTCCCTCTCTCGACGAACGGCTCTCAAAACAGATCAGCTTCAAAGCCGAACGAAAAGAAAAAGGGGGTGTGTGTGTGTGGGAGGAAAGCAAGTAAAACCAAACGAGAACGGGCGGACCACCAACCCCCCACTTCACCTCTCCTCCACCCGCAACCAAATCAAAATATCATACTATGCAGAAGGTCTTATTCAGGCTTTCTCGCTTTATCTCTCATCTTGCTTTGTATTCTTTCCCTTCTCCCCCTTCCACTCCCACTACCTCAACAACCCCATCACATCTTTCCCCCTCCTCCCTACTTCTCCTCCCACCACCTACCTCTCCGCCCTCCTCGTCATCATCCTTCCCCTCACCAGAGGCCCACCCAAACAAGGCTGGGAAAAACTTTGGCCAAACGCAAGATCAGATCCCATCCCCCCCTCCCTTCTTCTTTCCCTCCACCCCTGTCCCTCCCCTTTCCTATCCCCTTAGTGCGACATCAGCCAAGGTATGGCAGAGACTCCAAACCTCAGACCCCCGGATATAGGAAAGAGTAGAAGCCAGCTTCACCACGATCACAATCCACCATCCCACAGGGGATCCGTCCACAGTCTGCACACCATTCACAGCGACCAACGAGTGGCCCCCTCTTCAGAAGCCAACACCACCCCATACCAGGAGGAGGACACTGCTGGCCATGACCTCGACTTAGATCAAGATAAGGAAGCTCAATCCCAATCTCCTCCTTTCCTCCGTCACCTTACGCACTCTGTCGAAAGAGACGCCGAGGAGGAGGAGGAGGAGGAGGACGACGGTGCCAGCATCTCGTCCAGGTCGGATGCCTCCGAAGAAGCCGCAGGCTTGGTCTCTCGCCTCTCGGACGAGTACGACAGGG